AATGTCTAGCTTTCCCCCAATCTACATTCATAATCTTAGTTATTATATTCTTTTAAATTCTAATACTCTAAACTTGTGTGGTAGGTGGTAGATTACCTTCATAACTAGGTCTCATGCTTATTACTATTCTTTCACTTTTTTCTGTCAGTGAGGTGCCTAATGAAGCTTCCAATGTTTAGAACAAATTTGTATTTTATAAATGTAATAGTTAACAAATATAAGTGTGTGGACACTATAATCAGTGACCTCCCTGCTATCCCATAACACCAAGAGAAAGTCCTCAGAGCTTATAGACTATAGTTTCTCTACTCATTAGATTTCTTCAATATTCACACATTTCACTCACTCCTTTCCAATGGCTTACATGTCACTTTATCAGAAGTATTTTCCCTAGTCATTCTAGATAAAATAGTAATTCTCTACTCTCATTTTTTCCTAACATGTATACCATCTCCTTATATATTAAGTTTCTTATATATATATATATATATATATATATAGTTCCACAGAGTTCAGACATTGTACCTGATGTCCCTGAAGGCCTAGGACAGGTCCTGACAAAACAAGCATATATGTATTCAATGAATGAATGTTTAAGATGTATATCTATTTGATAAAGAACAATGAAACACCAGAACCATAACAGTTGTTCAAGTAAGATTACACAGGGTTTTCTTTTCCCAATTTTGTGAGTTTACAGTATGTATTTTAAAAATTTAAATAATTTAAATATTGCTTGAATACAATAAATTACCAAAGAATTTTAGACATATATCCTTCAAAATGACTTAAAAATTATTTTTAATATAAAGTCATTTTTAGACAGGTGGCTAGAATTAATCAATTGCTTCTCTATTTTCTAAGATATAACTATTCTACCATATGAATATACTACAGTTAGGACAGTACTGCATTGATTTGGAGGCTAAGCAAAAATGACTCTAATCTTAGAGTAGTGAGGCAGTACTGTAAGAGGAAGTATGTGATTTGGTAACTGATGAGTTCCTTTTTCCTCAATTAAGTGGTTTCCTCCCCAGTAGGGGAGCTTAGTTATGGTGGTTCTCAACAAGACCAGGCAATTAATTATGTGAGAGTCTAAGATACCTCAAGAATTTAAGATACCGCAAATAATTTGAGATTATTCAAGATCAAAAGACAAAAACAAGCACAAAAAACCCCAGTATAACATGTAGTCATTTGAGGATACTCAGATCGTGCTCTAGAACTGAGGACACTTCCACATTTAAAAAACGTAACATTCTTGATAACTAGTATAAAAATGAGCTGGTAGACTATCTTCATTTTATTTACTATAAAAATGTCAGACTGTTATCCATTTCCCCCATAATTTTATGAAAAGTGCTTATGATCCTAAGTTAGCTCAAATAACTTATTGAATGAATAGAAACTACTACATTTAATAATTAACAGGAAAACTCAGTCATTCTGTTTAACTTGATGTGCTAAGTCTGTCTCTAGTGATGAAAGCAGAATCCAACAGAACTAAGGAGAAGGGTAATGAAAAAGGTTTTAGGCTTCAGAGTGCAGACAAGATCTAAGTCAATAAGAGCGTTTTTTAAACTTGTCTTTTCTGCCCACACAAAGCCTCAAAGTCTCTCTATGTAGATCCCATTCCACCTCCCATTGGTTCCATACTTCTGCCTAAGTGCTGATCACAACATGCAATAAATATCACAGTATTACTACTGTACTGTGCCTAAAGATACTTTCTAGGTAAAGGTTTCTCCAGCTACCACTCACCTAAACACACCAAATGTAAACAGGTTTTTTCCTAAACCAAAGCAGATGACTTAGTCACACCTGCCACTGCCAATAGAAAGCTAAAAAAATTTAATCACATTAAAAAAAAAAAGTTGGGCCCTCCCTGGTGGCGCAGCGGGTTAAAGCACAGCACTGAAAATCTGAAGCCACTTCCGTATGAGTTCGATTCCCGCCTGCCGCCTGCCCGGGAGGAGACCCACCCGCTGCTCCCCTCAGCAGTGTACTTCGTCGATCTGCCTGTTCTGCTCCCCACTCTGTCTCTGGTGAAGCCTCTCACCGCCCCTGAGCCTCTGGCCTGTACCCCAGTTCTGTATGAATAAATAAATAAATCTTAAAAAAAAAAAAAAGTATCCAAAAATGACAAGTATTTTAGGATTAATAGCTAAAATATAAGACATGGTTTCATGGAATATGACTTGCAAAACAAATACCAAATTTTTAAATGTAACTACAACTCATATAAAATGAAGATCATCTATTTTTGGTCATTTCGTCAGCTTACTCTTCATATTTAAGTACAAGTTTTTATTGCCAGACTCATGTATTAATAGCTAAAATTTATTTAGTACTGTGTGTCAGGTACTACAATTAAACAATTTATTATCTTTAATTTTTGTAATTCTTGAGGGCTTATATTGTCTCAGTTATCAACTTAATGCAACAAGGTCTTAAGAATGCAAAGTAACCTGTTTAGTGTCACATGAAGTAAATAGTGGAACCAGCCTCTGAACTCCAGAATACAGGGGTGTGTGTGTGTGTGTGTGTGTGTGTGTGTGTGTGTGTTTTAATATGGAATGTTTCACGAATTTGTGTGTCACCTTTGCGCAGGGACCATGCTAATCTTCTCTGGATCATTCCAATTTTAGTATCTGTGCTGCTGAAGCAAACACCTGAAATACACGTGTTTTAACATCTACTCTAACACTGCTTGTTATACATCTCTACAAATTTTATGACAAGTGCTAACATCCAAAACCAAATTCCTATATTTTTCTATAGTCTACTTCTCAAATGTTTATTTCAGTAGTTGCCTCTTACCTAGTTGCGCAAGCTAGTTTTCACAGGTTTCCTCTGCTCCTTACCTCCCAAGTCCTACCTGTAATCTCCTAAACCGTTTTGAAGTCATCTACATCTTTCCATAAGCCTTGTTCAATTTTAATCAGGTTGGACTACATAACAGGGTGAGGCATTAAGTTTTTCTCGAAGGTACTTCCAGTGATGAGTCTATCCTCTAGACTGAACACAGCTGATTTAGTGGCAAAGGAACAGACTCAAAGTCCAGAACTAAGACTAGCAACATTTAACCCTACTAAATGCCAAAATCTAGAACAAATCTTTGAGTGAATATCCTTGTAACAGAATTTAACTTATTTTCCTATTTTATTCCCAGCTTTCACTTCATTCTCCTGAGAAGTTGGCTAAAACTAAGTTATGTTTTTGAAGCAAACTGTCACTTCTTAAAAGTGGAAAGCAAAAACACAGATTCCCACTACTCAAATTACAGTCAACTTTCCCATACTTAAGAAAAATCACAAGGGTCAGTACATTCTCAGTAAAATGTGTAAGTTTCACCCTGGGAAAAGCATTGTGATCATGCTTTGTCTTCTGCCAGAAAAATGTGCTTAAATATTTAGTCATTTGCTCATGTGAATGGTTTTAAAAATTGTCACCAACACAAACAACTTACTTACTTCCTATCTATTAACTCTTAAATTCTTTTTCCTTCCAAAGAACATACCTTTCTACCACATGAGAAAGCAGGTACTCCTTTTTCACTTACCCTAGAGAATTTTATGAAATTCAAGCTCTTTAACAAAATGTTAATGAAGCACTTTTTAGATTATGGTGTTTTTGAAAGCACTTTTACATATATTATTTCATTCTTTATTAATGTGAATTAAGATTTACCAATATTATCCGTAGGTTAAAAAATGACTCAGAAGCATTAACATTTGCCCTAGGTCTCCAGGAGGTTATGCAGAAAAATCAGGACCAAACACAGAGGTGTCCATTCCCTGCTCTTTCCACTATTTATCATTACCTCTATTAAAAAAACAAACAAAACCATTTTGATATATAATACAAATTTTGTAGATAAAATTTTACTTTTTCCTTAAAGTATTTCAACCATTACTTATCTATTTAATTATAAAGAAGGCAGAAAGTAAGACCTAAGTGAAGGAAAATGCCAGCAAAATTCAACTTCATTTAGGATTTCTATTTAAAAAACAAATGATACAATTATTACAAATATTTTTCCATTAAATAAAGTAAAATATCTACAAACTCAAGTTATATCTCTAACAAAATATTTATCCACACTGTAACTGGCTAATATAAAAACAATCTAAAAATATGGATAACTGACACAAATAAGCTGTAAAAGCATGCACAGTAAAGACATGCTTTCATTTAAGAATAGCATGCGTCAGCTAAATTTGCAGGCAATCTAAAGAGAATATAAACTAATATATAAAACTTATCTACTTTGCAGTTATATAAATACACATTGACAGAAAGTTTGCTTTCCTTTTTTGGTCAGAACAAGCCAACAACAGCAAGTAGCCAGAAATTAAAATTATTATGAAAAGAAAATTTTAATAGGAAATGGATTTGCTAGACTCTGATTTTCAGTTTTAGCTTTAGGAAATGAGTGATTGATTATTGCGATGAGGTTGGCAAGACAGGAAACTGAGTTAAAATTTATCAATCTTTTAAATGGCTTTTCTAAGTACAACTTTAATTTTTTAAAAGTAAGGTAGTTAGTACTATGTACCTCATTGTAATGCTACATGCTTATTTATACTGTTAAACTTGAATAAATAAATACCACAAATGTAAGAACTTTTAGAAAAATAGTTGAATTCACTAGTTAAAATTACCATATTTCCTTTAATTAGAGGAAAGTTAGGCAGTATAAACAATGAAAAGCCAAATAAGAGATCCAGGAAGAAATTAACTTAGAAGGCGACCAACTGTGTAGCTTATTCTTACCTTGGCTGTTTTTTTCACGGGTTGACATTTTTGCTGGTTGAGACAAAAATAACATATCTTACAATAAAAATTGGACATTTTAAAAAATGACTATAATAATTCATTTGTCTTTGATTACTATGAGTGTACTTCAGTGTACATTTAAATAAGCCAATATTCTTAATAGCAAAAACTTAACTTATGTCTAAAAGCACGGCTATTTTTAAAAAGCATTTTAAATTTACCTTGGTTGATGATGACATCTTTATGTCTGCAAAAGATTCAAAGATATTTACTTTATAATTTTATTTGGTTAGTAGAACACTTGAACAAATTATGAAAACTTCTATGCCTAGCACACAAAATTACTTAGACATGAAATTTAGGCATCAGTATCACTGGTCTTTACTAAAATATACTGTTTTATAAAATAATTAATATTCCACATGACCAGTGAACCCGTGAAAGCATATGAAGAATTTATGAATAATCCTCAAATCTTATTATACTTACTGAGGTTTATTATCTGAGATGGCATTAACAAGAAACATATAGCTTATCTCAGAATACATTAAAAAAAAATAATACTTAGAAGAAATATGCAATGTAAATTATGCTTAATGGTTCAAAACAGCCACATGATTATATATGCAAACATGATAGTCACAGAACTATTATTAGGTGTAACCGAGAATGCATAATAATACTTACTTGTCTGTATTTTTTATAACTTTTGATATCAACTTTGATGAAGAAACTGCCCTCAATAATTTAGTACGACTATCATCTGAATTTTCCCATGAATTATGTGATTTTTCAGCTGTTGATGGTCGCTTTATGCTGGAAGAAATACATTAATTTCTTAGAGAAACTTTCATTAGTAATAATGAGATGTACGGACAATTTTTACAGAACACAAAAGCAGCTGTTAACATTTCCTTAAGGCTAATCCAGAAAAGAGAAGGAAGGATTAGTTGAAAGTTCATCATGGATGAGTGAAGGAGTTAAACAAGGCAATCACCAAGTCTGTTTCATAATTTTCACTATTAATTCAGAAGATTCACCTGAGACAGTTTTACTCATGACCAGAAGTAAACATTAGTTAACACAAAAATACTGTATTCTCAATACTGATTTGATATATTTATAATTGAAGTTTTTTTTTATTTATAAATGATTTTTTTGCTGCATTGATAACTATCCTACAACTCATCCAGTCTTCAATACTTCTTGCAATAGTAGATCCAAAGAGCAATTTAGAATGGCAAGCACATTTCCAGGAGACCTTAAAAGGCTGGAAAGAAAAAAAAAAGGTCTGGGGTAAAGAAGCATCAAGTCAAAGAAGACACCAAGTCAAATCAGAACTTTTAAAAAACTGGTTATTTTTAAAAAGCCACTTTTACATACACACAATCTGAAGTTGCATAACATTAATAAGCTAGATCCAAGAAAACTCCACATGAGACAAATCAGGCAGAAGAAATTACAAACCATTTAGATAGCATAAGAATCTGCGTGAGGCACACAAAGTATTTTAAAAATGTTAAACATGCATCAATCAAATGAAAAGTGTTTCATTTCCCCAAATTTCCAAGAGTTTTAAGGCAAAATATTAAATTGATGAAATAAAAATATGTCATAAATCTTTTAGGAATATGTGTCATTTTCCTTACTAAAATCCTAGTTGGTTCTGGGAATGTTTTAATATTTTCCTAAGATTTCCAAGCAGAAGTATGATGATAAAATACCTAATCATTATACTTGAGCCAGCATTTCTAATGCAGGCAGTTTTCATTTAATTGGTTTGAATATTTAATTACAAGGTAGCTGTAGCACCAAACTCCCAGCATGCAGGTTGAGATCCCCAATTTAGCTTCACACACAATATTAGAATGTTTCTCCCTTCTCCCCATCTCATAATTTTAAAATATTAATTATTAAAAACAAAGAGAGAAGCCCTCAAGCAAGCCTTTAGCATAGAAAAGACCAGGTGAAATGGATTCATTTTTCTGCTGAAGCAAGAACTTATCCTCCCAAAACCCCAAATTGAAATTGAGATGCAGTCACAATGAGGAACCATTTGTTGAGTAGGGTCCTTGCAAGATGAAGGTTGTAATGATGCCAAAATATGATGGGGATAATTGCATATGGAAAAGTCTCTATCCAAGACTATATACACTACACAAGGTCATATAGAAATTAAAGTACATTGTAATTTTCTTACAAAAAATTGTTTTGGTTTTAGAGGTTACTTCTGCCTTTGTTTCATCAAATTGTTTATAACTTAGATTTTTTCAGTTTTAACTAAGAAATTTGACTTTAAATCTTCGTTTCCCTAATGTGCCAAAAGAGATTACAGCAACAAAGAAGGGGGGAAATGCCATCAGGCTTTTCACTTGGAATTCATGAATAGCCAACCATTTCTAAAGTTACAGAATTTAGGTATCATTACAACCATTCCCTAGCTCTGTACTTGGGGGCAGTTAAAACCTTTTGGTGGGAGTAGAATTCTTGCTTTCTTGAGTTTGTCTGTGTGTTTGGAGAGGCTGAGAAGAGGGCTGGGGAGAAGGTGATGCTCGAATTTGTGGACTTTGATCATTAGAATGAGATTCCTCTTTTTTTTCTCTCTGTCCTTGTGGTTTTTCTTTCCTTTTTTCTGTACCACTGTAAAATAAAGTATAACATGGAACACACATATTTAAACAAATTTTTAAAAAAGTATTATAAAAATCAAAATCCTAAATCATACAGCCAATACAATTTACTCCGCTTCCATTCAATAATACTTCTTTGAAAATCCTGGAAGGTATTAAAATCTTTAGTGAAGAATTTCTAAGAATTCCAAGGCAATATATCCTATGAAGATATGGGAATGAAATGGCCTCTAATGTATTCTGCCATCCTGGCAATTTGGAGGGATAATAAAAGAGCTGCTAACTGACTTCAACTTAGCCAAATTACACTATCAGTGACACTTTCCAATACCTCTGTAAAACATACCCACTAAGACCCAATGCATACTAAATGCATACCTTTGGTAGGTTATTCTATCCTACTAGAAACTCTCCTGCTTCTTTTATATACTTTTTCTTGTTTCTTCTATATACTTCCAATAGCTGGGCTTTAAACTTACAAAGAGTTAACTGCTTCAAGTAGTATTTGCTATTTTAATCATGTTAAGTAAAATAAAATTGATACTACATAGAAAAGTAAACTGCCATTTCCTATAAAACTAAGTTGAATACTCTGAAAAGTTCCATAAATATTGAGTTACTAAAAAATTGCCGTTAAATAGCATGTGAGACAATTACAAAAGACTGAGGAAAAATACATAGAAAGAGGTCCTAATTGACATGTTTGCAAATGCTTAAAAGTTCTTATTCTATTTTAAAAAATAAAACTAAAAATTATTTTAAATGATTTATGGGTATATTTAATATAAGGTAATCAACACGTATTTGAATCAGACATACATATGAGGCTTACCATTTCATAAAAAAATGACGAATATATGTGGCTGTATTTTAAAAGACTGAAGATATTTATGTATAAACTCTTATGACTCTGCACTTTGACTCTTGACATAGAAGGATCTGCTATTCCCAGTCACAATGGATAAAAGTCCTTATAACGTATAAATATTTTTGACAGTATTAAAAAGCAGATAGAATCAAAGCTTTAATTCCAGAGTTGAAATGACAAGAAACCACCAACAGCCTACATTTCTCAATCAGAGCACCTTTTGTAATTGACTGTAAGATACACAATCTACAAAGAGGTATGTTTAAGAATATCTTAAACAAATATACACAGTATATACAATTTAACTGTGACATTACAATTGTTAACAATGCTAAAACATAATTTTCAGAGTGACATTTCTTAATCTGATTCAGGTCTGTTACCTTCTGACTTCCGGCTGGTCCTTGGCAGTTTCTTTTATGTTCCTTTTTTTTTTTTTTAAAGTATGTGCTCAGAAATACAATTCTACTTTAAAAATATTGGACTGAGGGGCCCTCCCTGGTGGCGCAGCAGGTTAAAGCACTGCACTAAGAAGCTAAAGCCACTTCCGCATGAGTTCGATCCCCGCCTGCCCCGGAGGTGACCACATGGCGTGGCAGACCTCTCCTGACCCGCCCGCTGCTCCCCTCAAGCAGTGTACTTCGTCTATCTGCCTGTTCTGCTCCCCACTGTCTCTGGTGAATCCTCTCACCCTCCGCATCTCTGGCCTGTACCCCAGTTCTGTATGAATAAATAAATCTTTAAAAAAAAAAAATATTGGACTGACTTTGAAGTTTAAAACTATGCTAGAAATTAATTCTCCCTTGTTGGTGTTCAAACTGTCCTGAATTCACATATTAGTCTTACATGGGCCACTATATTAAAAGAGATTTTTCTCTTGGGTTGCTTAATGGCAAATACAAAGTGTCATAAACTAACAAACTCAGCTGATCTTAGATTGCTGAGTCCCAATCATACTGATCACTACACAGAACCTGTAAGAAAAAGGATGGATCCAAGCTTGTATTGGATACAACAAAGGAAATTTATTAAAAGCTGCTATTAAAATTTTCCATTATGTTTTTTTCCTGTAAATTTGTCTTTTTCTCCTGAAAGTAGAGTATAAGTATACCATTTTGGCATGATTCGGGGGAGAAATTCTATACTCTGTAATAATAATGACTTCGAAGATTAATTTCTAAAAACGACTTTTTGAAAGGCCTAGAGGTGTTATTTCTTCACTACTCTGTAACCAAATGTTTTGTTAAGATTTATAAATATACACAAACGATGAATTCAGTAACTGGCCTTCCTTTATAGAGGCAACCATTTTTCATCAGTATATTTAAATATTATTCTATTACTTCAAGTTTTTTCTCAATTATTCTTTAAAAAAAACAGCTGTAAGGGTATGTAGTATATCTCTTCTGGTGTCTCCAAATTCTATATGGAATAATTTTGTCGGAATTACACAAAGCAGAAAAATCCTGTAAGCAATTTTATTGGAACAAAAATTAATGAAAAAGTAAAGAACATATAGAATCTATATTTGTAATCTACTGAAACTTGTATATAACAGCATTTCCACCATCCACTAGTCCACCTCCCCCAATGCATGCATAACATATTACTGCAACATTCTGAATTAAGTTGTAATTTTAATTATGCTGAAACAGCAGAAGTTACAATAGTGCTAACCTTTACTATTATAGATATATATCTAAGATTCTATTTCTCCTTTAATGATGCCTTATCAAATGTGTCACTTGCTAAGGAAAATTCACTTGTACAATCATATTTAATATACTGATGCTTACTAAAAAAGAAACCAAACCAAACCACTTTCTTCAATAAGAATCAAAACCTTCCTGATCAACTCAAATATATTATGAATCTTAAAACCAAATGAGTATAAGGTTGACTATTTCTAAATTCAAAGAATTCAAAGGACATGCTCACTTGAATTTCAAACAACTCTATTTCATGTTCTTTTAAAAAGTAGACTGAGTTATCACATTCTGATAACCCTGCAATGTTAGCTGCCCCCGCCTCCCACAAATGAATACCTTTTAGCAGCAGATGAAAGCGTTTCTCTCCTCGCAATTGAGACAGAACTGGTATGACTTGGTTTTCTGTTTGCACCACTTCCATTGGTAATACAGGACATCGAAATAGCTTCTCGAAGGCCTGGCTGGCCTACAGGTGGTTAAGAAAAAACATATTTACAACAAATTTTAAAATATTTCTCAAAGATAAGAGCTTTAAAAATTAAGCCCATTAGTGGGTCCCCCCTGGTGGCACAGTGGTATT